GTTGGAAGACGTGAAACAAGAAACAGTTCTAAAACTCAAGTGCCCAAGCAGAAATCACGAGTTGATTGGAGGCGGACTAAAAGAAATAGTATCTCACAATTATCTGATAGTGATGAAGAGTTTTATAGTAGTGAAGAGTTTGACAGTGATAAGGAGTTTGATAGTGATGAAAGTGTTGATGATAATGAAAGTGTTGATAATAATGAAGAGCTTGATAGTAACACAGGGCTTGATAGCAATAAAAAGCCAGAAAATGAGGGAGAACTTAAGTTAATTGAAGTTGAAAATGAAGGAAACAACAGTAAGCATCTCGTTAACACTGGCAACAGTTCAACATATGAAGAAGAAAAGAACAAAAGCAAACATAGTCTTGACTTAACAGATTATGAAAGTCATCCAAGTCAGGAGGATGATGATCTCAACAAATACACTGGACAAATAATAGAGGAGGATTTAGAAGAAGAGCACATCAAACGAGGAAAGAGAAAAAGTATAGCCTCTGTGATATGTGACAGTGATGAGAGTGATGACAGTGATGTAATAGTTAGAAAAGCAGGTGTCAAACGTCCACGTAGAGTGATTGAAGATGAATGTTCTTCCCTGGAGATGGAGCAAAAAAAATCTGAAAAAACTTTAGCTGCACGAAAACAAGAAAAACTCCAGAAGCTGAAAGAACTCTCAAAACAAAGATCTCGTCAGAGACGTGATAGTGAAAGAGATTTTGAGGTGTGTTTTATTTTGTTGGTTTTGTTACGTTTTTACAACTTTGTTTAACATATTTAATTTTTATAAAAATCAAAAGTGCTAAGTCTGTTTTATTTCTCAGTAATCCTAGAATTTATGTTTTAATCCAGTAACCTGTAACATGTTTGATTACAGTGTTACACCTAATATAGTTTTATCATGAGCTTCAGTCCATCACTTTTTAAAAATGGAAATTGTTTTGTATGGTTTTTCTTGTTTTTAACTTCTACTTATGACCTTATTGTTCATTTTAAATGTTTTACATCATTTAAGCAACCCTCAAAAAAACCCACTGCTGTTGAGACAGTTCCAATTCATATAGTGACCCTGTAGGACAGGGTAGAACTGCCCCGTAGGATTTCTAAGGTTGTAAATCTTTACGGAAGCAGACGGCCACGACTCCCACAGAGCAGCTGATGTCTTCAAACTGTAGCCCTTTCGGTTAGCAGATGAGTTCTTTAACCACTGCGCCACAAAGGCTCCTCTCACTTAACTAAGATACAGTAGTATCTTTCTAATTTCAAAAGTGCAGCGTTTTACATGGCAAAATCTTTTTTTAACTTTAAAATATGAAGCTCTGTGGATCATTTTTTGGTTTCAGATGTAATGGTTAATTTCACATTCATACTGACAAAGGCACAGTATACTGAAGTGTATGTTTTAATTTAATTAGGACTCTGAAAAGGAATCCTGCCCAAGTAATGATGAAGATGACGAAGATGAGGAAGAGAGTTGTGAGGATGAAGATGGAGATGATTCTGTTATTGGTGACTTTATAGTAGAAGATGAGGAAGGTGATGAAGAGAATGAAAGTCAACGAGAAGAAAAATTGACTACTTCACAACTAAAATTAGTAAAACAGAATTCTCTCTGTAAGTTAAATATCAAAAAAATACAGTGTGCTCTAATAATGATATAGCAAGTCAGCCTTTTAATATCATGTTCTAAATCATTGGTTAGAAGTTATGGTTGCATTTCCAGGTAACTTTAAATTGTCAGATAATAGTTTATTCCATTGGTCTCAGGAATCTTTTAGAATCTTGAAATTATTAAGCACTACAAAAAGCTTTTGTTTATGTGGATTACATCTATCAGTATTTACCATTGTAGAAATATAAACTGAGAAGTCCTAAAAATATTTATTAATTTAAAATAACATTAATAAACTCATTATACTTTAATATAGATAACATAGTTTTATAACAAATAACTGTATTTTCCCCCAAAATAAGAAGACTGACTTTTTAAAAATATCTTTAATGTCTGGCTTAATAGAAGGCAGCTGGAGTCTTACATTTTCATTTGCATTTAATCTGCTGTGATATGTTGTTTTGGTTGAAACGGAAGAAACCAATTTGCCTCACACAGTTATATAGTTGGAAAAAGGAATTTTATAATAGTATTTTCAAAATAATTGTGAATGTTCTCCTTTGATACCACACCAAAAGTCAACAAGTGATAATTTCTTAAAAGTTATTTGCAATATGGAATCTGAAACCATAAAAATTAACTTTTAGTACTCTCTTAGACTACAGTCCATTCGTCTGTTTTGCATTTTGAGAGATGTTTTTTTACCTGTATCTGATTTTCTAACTCTGTGCATTGGCTGTTTGGGAAATATTAGTTCACTGAGTTATGCAGATCTTTCATTTGATACATTAATTTATTATACAGTTTTAAAAAATCACATTCATTAATATCACCACCAGTCTCAGAAAATTCTTTAAATATTGGGAAGCTGTCAAGCTCACAGTAGCACATAAAGGTTTTTCAAAATTCTAATTTATATTTTAAAACTTGATTTTTATGATTGACAGATATTCTTAGTTGTCCTTGAAGTGACAGACTCACTTCATTCAGTTTTGAGAAAAATGTCTGCCATATACCCAAGTCTGAATAACCAGTTTGTCATTCTTTAAGTAAAAAATGGTATTTTATGAAAAATGAGGCATTTTCAGCTCCCAACTCAAACAATTGCCTAAGTTTAACTTTTCCTCAAAACAGGCATCATACTTTTGTATGCCGCATAAGCATTTTTATCTCTAAGTGCATACTTCCCATTGCATCCCATAGAGTAACTAAAAAGATATGTACTCAACGTTCAAGATTTAATAAATTAATAATTTTTACTAATTTATGAAGGAAGTTCTTAAGTAAAACTAGCTTTTTTCTTTGTTTTCCTTAACTGTGAGTGCATAGCAGTGATCACTACAGTGATTGCTAGTAGTTTAGTGCTAATGCTATGATTCATGCTAAGGGGCTACCATTGCTTTTGCACCATCAGTACAAATTTTAACATAGTGGAAAGGGAAATACTGTAATATCTTTGTATTATTGCTTTGACCTTATCACCAGTCACTTTTGGTTCTGACTCATAATGATGCCATGTGTGTCAGAGTAGAGATGAGCTCCATAGGGTTTTCAGTGTCTGATTTTTCACAAGTAAATCACCAGGCCTTTCTTCTGAAGTGCCTCTGGGTAGACTCCAACCTCTAACCTTTCAGTTAGCAGCCAAGTACATCAACCATTTGTACCACTTGGGACCCCCAGGGGTTTGTAACCACAGTCTGAGAACTGCTCATTTTTTCTGGCCTTTTGAGGCTTCACTCGGTGAAACCTATCAGAGAGGAAATTAAAATCTTTTGTATTTTCATATAATTCACTAAAATATAGATAATAGAATTCTGAAAAGTTTAGGATATCTTTAAATATTATTACTCTGATGCCTATAACCCATTGCCGTGAAGTGGATTCTGACTAACAGTGACCCTGTAGGCCAGAGTAGAACTACCTATAGGGTTTCCAAGGAGCAGCTGGTGGGTTCACACTGCTGACCTTCTGGCTAGCAGCCATAGCTCTTAACCACCGTGCCACCAGGGCTCCCTGATTCCTATAAAAACCAAAAACCAAACCTGTTGCCGTTGAATTGATTTTGACTCATAGCGACCCTATAGGACAGAGTAGAACTGTCCCAAAGTGTTTCCAAGAAGTTTCTGTGGATTCAAACTGCTGCCCTTTTGGTTAGCAGCCAAGCTCTTAACCACTGAGTAATCAGGGCTCCTTGATTCCTATAGCTGTACATATATTTGAAGATAGTTTTTATGATGTTTTATAACTGATATAAGCAGGCTGCAAGACTGATACATTTTGTATTTTTTTCTTCAATAAAACATTCTTTCCAAATATTTTAGGAAAGGCAACATTTACTAAAATTAAGTGTGACATGGTTTAATTTAGATCTCACAATTTATAATAGTAGATGGATCAAATTTCAAGAAAATTTAGCTGTTATGGAGATGCCACTAATAGATACCTATGTACTGTAAGTTAATGACAATTTTCCTTATATCACTAGACACTAGTACACCTGCCACCTGGACATTTCAGTCACAGGGACACATAATTAGGAGATGTTCTCATCATTCTGGATTATGTATATAGACTGTGGTAGAACATTTGCTGAGAGATACCCATTCATTCCCACTCCTGCTAATTAAGAAAAATAAAAAAGTCCACCTGTGGGAACCACTTCAACTTCCTTCTCTACCCTACACCTCTTTGCTTACTCTAAATACAGCCTGTACTCCAGGGGAGGATGTAGCTCATTTTTTATGCAATACCTTTTATTTTGTGTTTTCTTAATTACAACTTCTCCTCTGGCTCTATCATCCACCCCCCCCACCCCACCTTTTTTTTTGTTTGTTTGAGTGACTTTATCTTTACGAACTTTCTTTCCTCAACTTGTAACCATGTTCATGCCTATCCTTCCTTTGCTTGGAATGCTTTGTTAGCCACTGTTCTAAATCTTTTTGTCTCTGTTTCCTGGTAACTACGGAACATGGTACTCAGTCTCTTGCACCCATCAGTCCAGTGAAATTGCTCTCACTTAAATTATCGATAACCTCCTAGTTACTGAAATACTCTTCAGTTCTTATATTAACCTGGCATTGCTATGTCCTTTGCCAGCATTAACCACTCTCACTTTCAGAAAACTCTTCTTTTTTTTAGCCTCTGTGATTCCATTCTCTCCTGCTTTCCACTTTATAATACTGCTTTCTTTTATTTCCATTTGCCACATAAATATTGATGTTTTCAAGGGTTCCATCCACCAAGCCACCTTTGTTTTGCTTGTGCTTTGAGCACTCCCTTACCCATATTTCAGCCCAATCTCTAGGCAGAAATTTCTAAGCTTTTATCTCCAGCCTAGAATTTCTCCTTAGTATAAAACCTAAATTTTCATCTTATTACTGAATATCTTCATCATGGTGCCTTTCAGGCACCTCAGATTCGATATGTACAAAACAGAATGATTCAGAGGTAGCACGATGGAATTTTTGACTAGTGGTAGGACTGTTCTTATTTTGGTTGTGGTGCTGGTTACACGACTTTATGCATTTGTCAAAACTCATAGAACTGTACACCAAAAAGTGAATTTTACTCTGTGTAAAATGTAAAGCTCAATAAATTAAGCCAAATGGATGCCCCTCTCAAAAAAAAAAAAGGTTCATCAACTTTCCTTGTCTTTGTATTCTTAAGAACCATTAGAGTTTCTACACATTATAGGTACTCATTGTTTGTTGAATGGATGGATGGCTGAAGGATTCAAATAAGTACCTTGGCTGAAGGCTTCTGGGTTTTATAGTTTATAGATTCAGAAAAATGTTTCATGCGAATCAGATTTTTTAAAACATCAAGAGAAAAAAATCATATATTTTAGATAATAACTTGGTTAATGTTTTTAATACTTACTAATATTTATACCATATGTGAATATAATAAATAAAATGTAATATAGGGAATTTTCCATTTACCAAAGGATAATGTTTGAGAAGTTTCTATAAGTTAATTCTAAATTTGGGAATCAAAATGTATTTTCTCATTAAAACAATAACCTATATGATGAAAAATGAACACTATTCTTTGGGATGGATTAAATTGGAATTAGGCTAGTATTCCTAGATTCATTCTCCCTCAAGCCTCTATAACAGCACTGACAACAACTCATATTTAACATATGATCAAAATCTGAGAGAAATATCTAACTTCTGATTCATTACTCAAGGGAGAATCACAATCAGTGGCCTATGCGATTTTGCCTTTTTGTAGAGAGCACTTTTGCCTTCCTACCTATAGGAAGACATTTTTGTTCACTTCCTCACTCTGCCTTTTGGCTCTGAGAGATGCATCTATACCACTTCAAAACAGGGTAGTTTTCCCCCTGCTATAAGGTTGAAGCAGTTGAAGACAGTAGTAGTCTTGTTTTTCCCGTGTCATCAATCCCTATTAGTATCTCTCTCTATTTATTCTGAGACTGCAACTCCTAGAAAAGATACGATAGAAAATAGAGGGACAGACTAGTGGTAATCCACTGCTTTCCAGCTCTATATAGATTCTAGATCTATTTAGTGGGTCACACACCAAAAGTCAACCTCAAATTTATAATGAAGCATTAGAGGTGTTCTCTATAAAATAAGAAATAAGACAGAAATATTTCTTACTAACTTTAGTCTGAATAATGCAATAAAACATATGAAAGCAAAACAATAATATGAAGACGAAATAAAAAAAACTATTGAAAAAGACATTATTTGAACGTAATATTATGTATATGCTGAAGTATAAGTTTCTGATTTATTTAACTAAGTATACAGAACTTAAGGGATATGAATACATTGAGAGCAGGAGTAAATGTAGCATATCTTTCCAAAGCTTTTTTCATGTTTTTTCCCTTGGGGGAGAGGGACCTGTTAGAGTACAAAAGAAGCCAATTTCTTGCTCTGTCCCTGCCCTCTTACACTGAGATTACCCCTCCATTCCAGAAGAAAGTTGATCAGCAATCTGTACTGTTACCTAAGGGAATATATGTAAATATTCTCTTGACTCTTGAAACAAACTTATCACTAGTAAGACCACATCCTCCTTGAGGTTGGGGGAGAAAGCAGAATCTGCCCAGGAATTCTGGAAGACTCTCTCTCTCTCCGGCTCTAGAGTGTTCCAGTAAGCTCATCTCCCACAAATACCCAAGAGAACCTGAGCATTTTGGAATTAGTAAGAGATCTCAGAAAAATGGCCATATTCACAATTAATGAGCAAAACTCCATGACTTTCATATACTTGCAATAATTATTTAGAAGATAAAATAGGGAAAAATTCCATTTACATTAGCAACCAAAATAAAATTTGTAGGCCTAATCCTAACAAGAAAAGCATGGTTTTATAGGTAGAAAAGGAGCCCTGGTTGGCTCAGGGTTTAAAGTGCTTGGCTACCAACCAAAAGGCAGGCAGGCAGCCACTCCTTGGGAGAAAGATGTGGCAGTTTGCTTCTGTCAAGATTTCAGCTTTGGAAATCCTCTGGGGGCAGTTCTACTCAGTCCTGTAGAGTCACTGTGAGTCGGAATCGACTCAGCAGCAACAGGTTTGTTTTGGTATAGGTAGAAAAATAAACTTCACTGTGAAATAGAAAAGAAGACATGAATAAATGGAGAGACATAGCATGTTTCCAAAAGGTAATAATACATAGTACAAGTTACTTCTGATATTTTTAAGCTCAGTTTTGCAAAAACAATTCTTAGTTCACTCGGAAGAACAACAAAATGAGAATAAATAAAATTTGAGAACAGTAAATTGGAAGAATTTGCTCTGCCTGATGTAAAAAGTCATAAAATTGAAGTATGTAAAACAGTGCAGTGTTTGCAGGAGAATGACAGCCAGATCTATAGGAGCTGTACCAATACACCTGTTGCTGTCGAGTCGATTCCGACTGCGTATATGTGAAATTAATATATATGATAAAGGATGTACGGAGAATCAAGAGAATGTCTAGACTATCTAGTTATTGGGTGTGAGGAAATTGATGAACTACCTTGGAAAAATCAAATTATGCATAAACACAATGTTAGTGGTTTTCCAGTATCCTTTTCCTATTTTTTTTTTTTTAAATAACTGGGTGTGGGGAGTGGGCTGTGTTTAAACAGTATTCCTAAAGTAGTCCACAAAAGCCCATCCAATGCAGGGATGAAAGCATTAAGTAAAGCTCTAGAGGAGGGCTGGATTCTAATTCTAGTTCTGCCTCTGTGTAGTAGTGTGACCTTAACTCATTTCATCAGTGTGTCGTTTTGCTTAAGTGTAAGTGAGATTTGAATTTAATTTTCTCTTAAGACCCCATCCAAGTCTAAAAGGCCATATTCTGAAGCATAATATCAAATCTAAGTGTCGTGTATGCCAACATCTGTTTAGAAGATAGGGCAGGAAATACGGAGTCAGATTGCCTGAATTCTAACATTTACTAGCTGTGTGATGATAAGAAAGTTTTCAGCGTATCTTAGTTTCCTTATCTGAAAATACACTGAGGATAATGAGTAGTTCAGTGGCTTTGAGAAATAAAACAATTCATGCAAATGCTTGGAATGATTCCAGGCATGTACTTATTCAATAAATTTTAATTATTTTTACTTTGTATTAAATGTGAGATGCCAGGAGCGTAATTCCACCATCATTCACCCATCTCCACAAACACAACGAAATAGGGGTCTTCTTCCTAACTCTTTGGAAGAAGATTCTGATACACATTGGTAGGGGAGGGATTTTGTGATTAGAAAAAAAAATCCCCAGGTGATTCTAATCTCTGCCCTTTCCCTTTCCTCTTAGTCATAAAGAAAACGCTATCAGGGTCTTTGAAATAGAGCCACAGTTCCCAAAACTCTTTAGTGGGTGAGTCACATTGGGCATGTTCGAGATGAATAAATTCAATGGGATAAAAAATTCTATTTCAGTTTGTTTGATTGTTAAGTACACAGGATAGATTTGATTGTTTTTTTTCTCAACGTATCTATTAATATTCCCCAAACAGTACTCCCTTAATACAATTTGGAGAATACTAGAATAGAGTTTAGATACATTTGGATGCTCACAAATTATGTACCAGTACCATAATATTACATCCAGAGTTTGATGAAAGTCTATAGTCAACATTGAATTCTGTTTAAGTATCATTTCATTTTTCAATTATGCTCTACTGATTTTTTAAAAAATATTTTATGGCCATGATCAATTCTTTTATAATTTTCAATGTATCATAGGCCCTCTAAAGTCTAAGGGCACCAGTGCAGATTATCTGCTGTTGTCATTTAGATTTATTACTACTTTACTGTGATTACTTTATTCAGTAAGGTTAGCTCCTTAGAAAAGAGTACATACTAAAAATTTCCCTTAAAGTCTAAGAAAGAGTTATACAGCCCTTATTAAGGAACCAAAATAGAAGTGAATCCCATCTTTCTTTTTACTTACCTGAAAAGAAAGTCAAAATCTATTTGTGAATGTTTGCGATAGGTTTTATTTGGCTTTAATCCCTTGCCACGCATTTTCCACATTTCTCGAAAATACTCAAGTTGTTCTTGATATATCTTCACAGGTGCCCAGAACTGGGCAAATGCTTTAGAATGGCCATTTGATCAAGGAAAGAGTCATATTTAATAGAGAACATTTCCACAACCATAGTAAACTTTGACCCAAGGGTAGTAGGAAATAGTAGGGGCTTTCTCTCTTATCCCTGACTGACTTCTATCAACAGATGACTCCAGGGACCAGACAGGTTGTTGGAAAATCAGGCTTATATGTTTTGTGTGGAAAGGAGAAGACACAACTTTTCTATATTGATAGGGACTACAGGAAATTCTAAATCTGTGGCAGCAGAAAGAGAAGTGAAGTTTGAGAGCTACTGGGGTGCTGGCAGGGGTCGCAATTTTCTGAACAATTTCATATGTAGGCTCTCTTATAGATAAGGAATAAGAAAAGAATTTCACGTACATATTGAACATCCTCCCTTAGAGATTTTCTCTCCTGTTCTAATTAAGTTGATAGTTAAGTGCACAGGCACTTTTTTTTTCCCAGAACATATTTCATAACATTCCCTGAACAGTTTTGCCTCGCTAAATTTGAGAAGTGGAGATTATTTGAAGTAGCAACTAGAAATTTTGGATTAGAAGTCAGGAAATTTGGAATATGGAGATGTGCTATGACTAGACAAGTCACCAAAGTAGCTATTAAATTAGGATAATTAAGCTATTTCTCTATTTGTAGTATTAATTTCTTAACCTTGGGGAAGATAACCTATTTTAAATACAGGTAATTGTTTTGTCTACTAGATTCTAATATTTGTTTAAAATTAATTTCAGATTCTTTTAGTGATCCCTATACTCACTTTGAAAGAGTTGTGAAGGCTTTGCTGATCAATGCTTTAGATGAATCTTTTCTGGGAACATTGTATGGTAAGTCAATAGTATGAATGGAACAATTTCTTTTTTTATTTTTTCAATTTTTAAACAACATAGCTTTAAAAAATATATTAAGCAAAACCAAGGAGGACCATTGTTAAGGCTCTCCAGTCATCCTTCTAGGATCAACTATATCAAAATGTATTCATATAAAAAGCTAGTTAGTGTTTGTGGAAGGTACAAAAAGTACAAAAGAAGTAAGTTACAGATCCCTGCCCTTCAAGAGTTCACAGCGAATTTAAGGGTATAGGCTATCTACTCATGAAACAGCAGGATGGCTCAACAGCCATATTCCAGCCTCCCTGTATTTCACTAAAACTTACATGCTCTTTTATATTCCACTACTTTTACACATGCTTTTCTTTCTCAGAATATAAGCCAGTTGTACCCCAGATTTTCCATGTGAGTGTGAAAACATTTCCACTGTGAAACCCGTCTCTGACCTGCTCAAGTAGTATTTATCTCTCCTTTATTTTTGCCATCATTCTGAGTATGTTGGTATTCATGTACACGTACTTTCCCACTGTATTTAAAGTATATTTTTGCCTGCCTCCCTTACCAGAGTGTATGGGAAGAACTATATCTTATATACATATGTATTCCTTGCATCTGGCACAGAATCTGGCATGTAGTAAGACTAAAAATATGTTGTGTTGAATACCCAACCTAAGTGCCAAAACTAGATTTCTCTCATAATTTATAATGCTGGACTCAGCATTATTTAACAGCTGGAGATATGGCAGTAAATATCATATGTTATTCCTGCCCTCAGGTTGCTTAAAGTCTACATAGACGATACGTAAGTAAACAAATACATAACATAATAAGATTTCGACTGGTGAGTCATTCTCGAAAACAATAGAGTAAGGAGATGATAAGGGAGAAGAAAGTCTGTCTTAGATTTGTCAAAGAAGGTCTCTGATGTGAATTTTGAAGGAAAACCTGAATGAAGTGAAAGAGGGAGTAATGTATGGCTCTTAGAGAACAGTAAGTGCCAGCACCTTTAGGAAAGAATAAGTTTGGTGTGTTCAAAGAACAACTGGAAGACCTATGTGGCTGGAGTAGAATGAGATGGGGGAGAGGAGAAGAGATGAATTCAGAGGGGTCTAGGTAAGGGACAGATAGCAGAGGGTTTTGTAAACCCTGGTAAGGCATTTGAATTTGTAGCGACTTAAACATGATAAATATATTAATTTATTAAAGGAGTTCCTGGATGGCACAGACGGTTAGGCGCTCAACTAGTAGCTGAAAGGCTGGCAGTTTGAACCCACCACAGGTACCTCCGAAGATAAGCCTGACAATCTGCATCTGAAAGGTGGCAGCTTGAAAAGCCCTCTATTGTTGCAGTTTTGCTCTGACACATATGGGGTTGCCATGAGTTGGAATTGAGTCCATGGCAGCTAACAACAACAGTTCTATTAAGGAAGCCCCCAAAAGAAAGGCAAACAAAGTTTAAGTTCAGAGAATATGATAGATATGTATAAATAGACAGGTAAGGTATATAAAAGGAGCCCTGGTAGCACAGTGGGTTAAGCACTTGGTTGCAAACCGAAAGGTCAGTGGTTCAAACCCATCAACCACTCTGTGGGAGAAAGATGTGACAGTCTGCTTCTGTAAAGATTACAGCCTTGGAAACCCTATGGGGCAGTTCTGCTGTGTCCTGTAGCATTGCTGTGAGCCATAATCAACTCACCGAGGATGGGTTTTAAGGTATATAATAAAGGGGAGTGAGGAAACAGGTCTGGCTACAAGAGAGGGTTCTGATTTGTTGGCACTAGGGGTTACCACTGGATAGGTAGAATGAAGCCAATTGCAGAGGGCCTGGAAAGCCATACTCAGAACTTTGAGCTTTATCTAGAATTTAATAACTCATCCATGTCAGTTTTGTGTAAGAGAATAGAAGATAATAGTATGGAAAGCTTTTTCATCTGGCTGTTTCTCTTATCATAAAGTAATTGTTAAAGCTTAATAGAAGAAGAACTGTAGAGTCGTTTTTCTGTTTTCTTTCCCTAATGCTGTGTTCGCATGATTTTTTTTTTACTTCTTAAATTTTTTTTTTTTAACTTAAAATGCCCTCTAACCAACCAACTAAGTATCTTCCTTAAAACTATGGGAAGAGATCCTTAAGTAAAAATTATTTAAATATTTTATATGCGAGAAGTGATTTTTGTTGTTATTTCCCTGAACAGATGGCACCAGGCAGAAATCATATGCACAAGATATGTTGACATCTCTTCATTATTTGGATGACCGCTTTGTTCAGCCTCGTCTAGAGAGTTTAGTTTCTAGAAGTCGTTGGAAAGAGCAATATAAGGTATACAGTTTTTTTTTTTTTTTTGTTATCTCCAGGATGGGGGAAGGAGATGGGGAATAGTGGAGAGGGGACCTCTCAGTATTTCAATGTTCAGTTAGACTGAATCCTCTTCTAAAGTGTTCACATTCCTCTTTGTTAAATTATCAGCTTATTGTTTCTAAAGGCTGTTATTGTTTGAATCATTCACACTAACTATAGTCAATAAATGATAAGTAACTTTAGAACTTCTCTAGGACTTAGCCATCTATGAAATGAGGAGATTTGCTATGACTAGACCAAAGCAGTTACTAAATTAGGATAATTAAGCTTTTCTGCTTAATTATTCTATGCCACAGAATGTTAATTGTTGTTTCAGAAGCGTTCCGTAGCCAAAGAAGTTTGAGAAACATCAGGTTTAACTTAAACTGGTTTCTTTACTGGAGGACTTTTCAGGAAGATTAATATATAAATTTATACTGCAAATCTTCAAGAGGGGGATATAGAATGTAATACTTGACAAATTTGTTTTTTACACTTTGTATTTTACAAGTATGCATTTGAGGCTTCTTTTCAGGAAATACTTGTTATTATCTCTCATGATTCTTGATTTCCATAGAACATAATTTGGGGAACACTGGCCTAGATACTTTGTGACATCCTTCTTTGCCTTAAGATTTTGTAATTTTACTATTTCGGGGAAGCACCTGTTTAATTCATAAAATCTGCTAGATTCCATGTTATCCTCTAGGTTTCTGTTTTTTGATCTCTAATGGTAGGGGCTGTACTATATTATTTTTAAGGTCCCCCCCCCAACTTCTAACGGTCCATGTTCTGATGATTAGCAAGAAGAAAAATGGCAAGATAATAAAATATCTCTCAAGTTCCTTCAAGTCCTTCTAACATTTAAATCACTAGTTCCCCTAGCTGATTTATGTCATGTCAGAAGATTGGTTTTATCCAAGGCCTGTTCAGCCTTCATACCTGATGGTAATTTAGGAACTGATGATTAGGTTTAAAGGACAGTTATGGGATTTCAGAAAGATGTAGAAGGCTTCAAGTTGGAGGATGAGTTTAGGGCCACCATATGTATCTTTTTGACTTTGGGAAAATTTTTAACCTCCCTGAACCCCTGTTTCTTCCTTAGACATAGGAACTATTTACCTACTTTGAAGGGAAATATTTACTTACTTTGAAGGTAAGGTACATAGCCCAATGCTTAGAACATCGTATATTGTTTTCTTCAGTAGAAAAAATAGACTGTATTTTATTATTTATCACCTAATTTTTGTCAGGTACTTTATATGCAAAGTAAAGTATGTTATTTAATCTTCACAATAAGCCTATGAGGAAGCTGCTGTTATTTCCTCCATTTTAAAGATGAGGAAACTGTGATTCAGAAAAATCGATTAACATAAGATTACAAAGCTAGTAATTAGCCAGGCCAATATTTAAACCAAGGGTCTTTCTGACCTGTATGCTATACTGTGCAATATCATATCATAGTAGATTATACTGAATTTGGATAACCCAATGTTAAAATAATAACTATAAGATACAGTAAAATATTAGCTTAAAAATTTAGAGACATAGATGATTTATAGCTATTTTAGTCAGGATAAGCTAGGTTATACTGCTAAATAATAAATAGAAACAACAACAAAACCTCAATAGATTGACCCAGCAAGTTTTTTTTCACTTCTGTGCCCAGTGTGAGTCACCAGAGATGTTGTTTATTGTAGTCACTCAGGGAACCAAACTGATAAGAGTTTTCATCTCAGCATTTGCTTCTAAATGAGTACCACAGAAGCAAGAAGAGAAAGTGATTAGTTACCTATTCATTCTGAATTTCAGCCCATAAGTGACACACATTGCCTGCTGTCACATTTTATTGGCTAGAGCAAGTCATGGTGATACCTAATGTCAGAGGAGGCAGAAGTGCACACTTACCATTTCCATGTAACTGGAAGGAGAAAAGCTGAAAATATTTGGTAAACACTAGCAATAACTATTACAAGAATCTACCCCAGAAAGTTAAGAAATGTCAAGGACCTAAAATGTGTTGCATGAATATACCAGATATCTAAAAAGAAGTTGGAGTATTGTGCCTAACACTGATTCTTGGGCTTCACATTATCATTAGGACTGAGTATGCCTTAATCCAAAACTTAGTGGTTGTTCCTTAAAAACTGTAGGCCAGTCCATGGGTTTAACGGTTCTAGGAGCAACCATTTCTGTTAATATAAAAATTATGTTGACATACTGTCTATGACCTTTTTCGATAGTATTTCTAGACGATTTCAAAAACTGTTCTCATTTGCTAAAATTATGTATATATGATATGTATGTATATACATAGAAACTATTGATGAAAATTGAAATTAGGTACAATATTTTACATTAGATTGTGTGCTTTTTATTATTTTTTCAAACATCCATCTTTGCTTCTGAACAAATAAAAGGCATATTTACATAAACAGCTTACTTTTCATTGATTAAATATTAGTTTGCATTAATCAGTCCATAAAGTGCTCATGACACATTTCTTTCTTTAGTGACACTTCATATAAATACTGAAACAGAATACTGTACCAGTTTTAACAAATTTGGAGCAGCCATTTCTTTTTAAAAAAAAATTAGCACCTTTCAAGAGATGCGCTTTCCTCAGTGAGAATAAACATCATATCTAAAGTATAGCCTTCATAAAGAGAACTTAGAGGATATTTTTTACCATCCTTCCCTCCCTCCATTGAGATCATCCACATATTGAAGTACTTTGTCAAGAGATTTCTCATGATTAAAAGTACTTAGAGCACGATGTAGTGAATTTCCAAAGGAAGCCACTTATACAGATATTGGAAGGCTGTTGTGTGTCCCTTGAAAGGAATGTACGTTGATTCCCTTTGCTGGTAAAAATTTTACTTTGCTGCTGCCAGTAAACACCAAACCGTTTTGTTTCTAATGGAATTTTGGATCTAAATTAAAGTTGTAAATTCTTGTTTGAATGTGGCCAGAATTATTTAATAAATCTGCCAAATATTATTTCTTAAACAGTGCCATGAGGTATGAGAAATATGGCAAGCAGACAAAAGACAATTCTGTGAATCACACAGTATAAAAAGGAAATTAATCAGTGTATTGGATACTAAATTAATATCTATGGATTAATCGATTAATAACCACTAATAGTAACCATACTAAGGAGCCCTGGTGGCACAGTGGTTAAGCACTCCCCACCAGCCGCTCTACAGGAGACACTTGTGGCAGTCTGCTTCCGTAAAGATTTACGGCCTTGAAAACCCTATGGGGCAGGTCTGCTCTGTCCTATAGGGTTGCTATGAGTCAGAATCATCTCGATGGTAAAAAGTTTTTAATAGTAACCATGCTAGTAGGTTTATTATGCACAGTTTAAATATTCTGGTAAAACGTGATCTCCAGTTGGAACTGTGATGTTTACTCTAGGCCTAGAATGTAAGTAAAAATACTCAAACACAAGTAACTTCACAGAATGTTAATAAAGCTTATTTATGAACGACAAATGTTTTCTCAGTTTGTTTGCTCCCTGGTAACTCAGTTACTGGACTGTCCATATCAATTCTAGACACCTGGCAATCCTAGTTGTAACTTGTTTATTTTCATAGGACTGTAGCAGGATTGGAAACCCTGGTGGCATAGTGGTTAAGAGCTGTCCGAATCCACCAGGCACTCCTTGGAAACCCTATGGGGCAGTTCTACTCTGTCCTGTAGGGCTGCTATGAGTCAGAATCGACTCGACAGCAATGAGTTTAGTTTTTGTTTTTGGCAGCAGGGATGAAATTATTTCTGGAGTATTATGATATAATCCATACGATAGAGACTAAATCTGTTCTTCTCAAGTTTTTGAATTTTTGACTTAAAGTCAATACGTTTTTTTAAATTATCCTGAATTTTTGATGCTCCTTTTTTTGTAATTTTAACTAATCAGTACCTCCTTATCACTTAACTAGAGATGAGAAGAAGGAAAAAAAGTAAATTACTTATCAAGAGCACCACACACCCACTCTTTGCTTACTGTCTCATTATCTGGCATTTCTCATTTATGACAATAGCAGAAAATCTACTGTTCAGCCATTTTGCACATTAACAGCATATGTCTGGCAGTAACAAATGCTGAAGTGCTAGGCTATAGTAACACTGGCTGTGATGGTTAAGGTTATATGTCAACTGGCTAGGCCATGATTCTCAGTGGTTTGGCAGTTATGTAATGATGCAATTTGGCAATTATGTAATTATGTAACATGTCATCTTCCATTTTTGTGGTTTGATGTGGTCATCCTCCATTTTCACATAACACCAGTTTTCATGTAATGACCTGGTCTTTGGAACCTAAGCAAGTCAGTAAGTGAGGAGTAGGTGTGCTTAGTAAGTCACTTAATTACTCTGAAGAATGTAAGAGACATAAAACAGATTTTTTTTCTAGTCTGGTTGCTTCTCATTTAATAACCTAGATGATAAATTTATTTTTTCTTTAAATTATCAAACAAACTGTGTGGTCAATATTAAAGTAGGAAATCTAAGTGTATTTTGCACCTACATCTTTTCCTATTATTATAATTCCTAAGATAGGTTTTAATTTGGTTAGCTTCTTTTTGTTTTATTTATTTATTTTTATCTTTTAAAGCTTCATTCTGTTTTTTTAATTGATTCAGGAGCGGGTAGAAAATTACTCTAATGTAAATATTTGCCAGAAGAACCCTGAAAACCGTTCCTGCCATGCCTGTGGATTACATCGCTACTGTACATATTTGGTGCATTTATCAGGAAAGTTATATAATACCAGAACTATGGAAACAGATGATTTCATGTCACATGATAAGCAGGTATTGTTTTCTTTTAACTTCAGTTTTCAGTATTTAGAAATTTTCAATATATAAGCCTGCACAAATCACCCTAGATTATTTTCACAAGTGGAGAATACAAGGAAAGAGAGTACAGTTTTTGAATGTGAAAAATTCGTCATATACAGCAGATTCATTTCCTAATTTAGTCAGATAATAAAATGAGGGCATATTCTCTACATATGCATCATGCAGGTTGAGGCGGAGATCACTGGGGCAGGGGAGGCAGGAATCGCTTCTGCCTCCAAAGGGGAATTGGACCCAGGTAGAAAATTTTACAGGAGATAATCCACCAAATAGGTAATCCACAAGCGAATAACTGAAGAAGACTATTCAGCCTAATATGAGAGAACTGAAAGAATACCATACTTAAACCTAGACTATATCAGAAGCATGTCAGAGTCTAGAGCAATAACCACGTACTTTAAGAACCAGAAAACCAAACCCGTTGCCATCAAGTCGATTCCGACTAATAGCAGTCCTATAGGACAGAATAAAACTGCCTGATAGGGTTTCCAAGGAGCGCCTGGTAGATTCAGACTGCCAGCCTTTTGGTTAGCAGCCGAGCTCTTAACCACCATGCCACCAGGGCTCCAGTCACGTACTTAGGTGCTGTTAATTTTGAATGAATAGATAAAACTGAGGAATAAGTAATAGAGCAGAGCAGCACAATGTGAAGAGACAAAAAGTGCAGATGAAGACTACTTCTATTTTTAAATCTTAACTTTATGAAAGTGTTGGATTAATAAAGGATCCCTGGTGGTGCAGTGATTAAGCACTTGGCTGCAAACCAAAAAGGTCAGTGGTTCAAACCCATCAACCACTCCGTGGGAGAAAGATGTGACAGTCTGCTTACATAAAGATTACAGCCTTGGAAACCCTACGGAGCAGTTCTGCTATGTCCTGTAGGGTCTCTGTGAGTTGGGACAAGAGTGGAGTTTTGTTTGCATTAACAAGTACAACGATACTGAGATCTTCTTCTGGTGAGTCTGCATATCACTGTTGTGGGGAAGGGTGGCTTAGAAACCCAAAGTCATCTCTTAATTCCTCTAGCCAGTTATTAAGATGGAAATATCCTATTTATCTGAATTATTTTACTAAATTGGAAAGTATGATTCCTCAGGACTATTGGGCAATAATTGACCAGATCCCTCTGGGCTCAAAATTCACTCTGATGTTTGTATGGAGATAATTAATTCAGAATTAGTCTTTAATGTTTTATTTGGCAAGTTACCATAAAACACATATTTCTTTCTCAGTAGAGTCATATGCATATTTCCTTAGTGTTTTGAAAACTGATCTATGAGTTTTTATGAGATAAGATGCCTAGAGTCCTAATAAAAGTGATTTAATACTTTAAAGACCATATTCTGTTGTATAGATCAAAAATATTGCTGTACGTTCACTGCCTTTTCTGTCCTCAGCTAATCCTGGAGAGGGAAGTAGAGTAGAGTTAGCAAATCATTTATAGAGCTCTAAGATCCCTGTGAAGGAGCAAACATTCTATATAAAAAAAGTTGATTCAAATATCTAAAAAAATCGATTTCATGAAATAAAAGCAAAGAACATTAAAACAGTATTCTTACAATGAAAAATTATAAAATTTAACAAATACATGGGAAAATATTCTGTATATAACTGCTGTCATGAGTTCAGTACAGATACCATAATTTTTGGAATTGTACTCTTTTTCTGAGGCCACCATGAACGGGAACATACAATGATGTTCGATAGATAATCGAAGATTCCTCCCCCCCACCATTGCCATTGAGTCGATTCCAACTCATAGCAACCCTATAGAACAGAGTAGAACTGCCCCATAGGGTTTCCAAGGAGCAGTTGGTGGATTTGAACTGCCAGCCTTTTGGTTAGCAACCAAACTTTCAACCACTGTGCCACCAGGGCTACAAAGATAGTCATGCCAAAAATGAATAAAAAAATATAATTGGCATGTCAGGTTTGATGTGTTTCCTTGTGAAAATGGCATTGATAGTGGCATTTTGAACATCTTTTAAAACAGTGGCCATTGGGTCGATTCCAATTCATTGTGACCCCTTGTGTGCCAGAATAGAAATGTGCTCCGTACGGTTTTCAGTGGCTGATTTTTCCAAGTAGATCGCTAAGTCTTTCTTCCTAGGTGCCTCTGGGTGGACTCAACCCTTCAGCCTTTTGGTTAGCAGCTGAGCACATTAACTGTTTGTACTACCTAGGGACTCTGGACATCTTTTACCTTTCTTTAAATCCCCAAAAGTTGAAGAAACGAATGTTTAGATTTCTGTTCATGGTTCTGTGAAAACCTTTTCGTTTTTCAGATTAGAAGTAATCAGATGTTATTGTACATTGCTTGCTCACTGTAAGTACCTTTTCCATTTCAACATTATCATCAAACGAGTCCTGGTAGTATATGACATCTTAACAATTCACTTGCCAATACTTCCCACTTTGAGTAAGAAGACATCACAGTCGTTGCAGTGGCCACTAGGGGTTCTCCCATGAATTCACTAAAAGGACAATTAGTGTCACCATTTCTGCCATGAACATGGATTATGTGGAAGATTCCTGTGGCTGTTGTGGATAAAATACAGTCATAGAATAATGTGTTTTTTATTTTCATCATATTCTGTATTTCAACAAAACAAGAGGAATTTACCTGTAAAGAACTCTTAAGTTGGGGAAAAGAGAAGGAGAGATGTTTAAAAATCCTTATTTTAAATGTGTTTCCTGTATGAAACACAAATATTTGTTGAAAATATTAAACCGTATAGTTTTCTTGTTTCCATTTCTAATTTCTGCCCTCTTGTAATCTACTTATAGTTATATATGTCAGTAAACCCCAAATTACCTTTAGAATGTTCTACTATTTTTTCCCAATATAGCAGGCAATTACATTTTATATGGAAGAGCCTAAACAATTGCTGTAAGGCTTTATAGAAAGCAGTAGAATCATACAGTAGCTATAATACTGCTAGTGGACCTCCTCTCCCCATCCCCCATTGTTTTTAGAATACTGTTAACAGTCCATTGTAGTTGTTTACCATATGAATTAATATATACAGTACAATTTAGCTTATACTGTATGGTTCCATTCATGTAAAGTAATAAAATAGGTAAAATTAATCTATGCTGTTAGAAGGGTCGCTATGAGTTGGAATCGACTCGATGGCAACTGGTTTAGTTTTGGTTTTTCTTGGTTAGGAAGAAGAGGATAGGGAGGGCTTCTCAGCTGCTGGTAAAGTTCTATTTCTTGTTCTGGGTGCTGGTTACATGAGTGAGCCATTCACTGAGCTGTACACTTAAGTGTGCCCTTTTATGCACGAATATCATGTTTCAGTAATCGTAAAGCATAACATTTTCATGAAATATTTTCAGAGTCTTCCTGTTTTAGCTATACATTTGTAAAATAAAGTAAGTATTCAAAAAGTTCTGGAAGAGAAATATTCTGATCAGTTCATTTCACAAAGAGTGTTCTTAATCACAGAATTCTAGAAGACCATATACTAAACCAAAACCAAACCCATTGCCGTTGAGTCTATTCCAATTCATAGCAACCCTATATAGGACAAAGTAGAACTGCCCCATAGGGTTTCCAAGGAGCAGCTGGAGGATTTGAACTGCCGACCTTTTGGTTAGCAGCCGAGCTCTTAACCACTGTGCTAGCAGGGCTCTGGAAGACCATATAAACATAGAAATTAAAATTCCTATAGCTGATTGATAAGAAAAAAATTAATACGTTTTATTCACATAGGACACATTGATTAAGGCAATAAATATGCCTAAAAAGAAAGTTATTTTTTACTTTACAACATTTTTTGAAAAAAAAATACTTAGGTAAAAAATCTGCCAATGTTTAGTATTGGTATGAGAATGTGTTTCAGTTTTACATGTTGCTTATGGCTAGAAAATTATTGTAATCTAGGTATTTTTAACTCAGTAAATATGTACCGATAATACCTTGCATGGTCTTGTCTTGCAAAATTTCATGTGTGCCATTCCTTCTACCCTACAAGCTGTTTCTTGCCTCTTTCCCAAACTTGGCTGACTCTCTTTTCTCAAGACTCAATGCAAGCATTACCTACTTGGGGACACATCTGCTTTCTAGATTGGATTAAGTGCCCCTCCTTTCTAGATTGGATTAAGTGCCTTGATAGCATCTCATGCATGGCATTTGTCACATCATTTCATAATCATTTGTCTTTCTTCCAAGCCTATAAACTCCCTAATACAGATAGTACATCTTTTATTTCTAAGTCTCCAGTGCCTAGCCCAATACTTGAAACGTGGATGCTCAGGTTTTTTTGTTGACTGAGTTGAATAAGAGAAGGTAAAAGAATCATTGTACAGTGAAACCTGTGAGAGCTGGAACTTGATGGAACTGCCTTGTTATTCCGGGTCTCAAAAGTTTTCCGCCTTGGACAGGTTGCAATCTTACTGCTTTTCTGTTGCTGCTTTTTGTGGAAAATATTTGAGTTTTCCTTCTCTGAAAGGTTCGTGCCTTTTACATGTTACGGCTTTCACAGGTTTTTCTATATAAACAAAAATAAAATAACGAATGCATTTATTAGATTTTACTACTAAGGAAAATCTGAAAACCAGTAAGGCTGTATATTCGTTATTCTGTTATTGGCTTGATATGTCAGATAATAATGTTTATTTCTTGATTTAGGTGTTTACTGTTGGTAGAATTTGTGCTCATCGTACCAGGATTTATCATAAACTGAAACATTTTAAATTCAAGCTCTACCAGGAATGTTGCTCCATTGCAAAGATAGAAGAAATGGAAGATGAACAGGTCAAAGAAACAGTGGAAAGAATTTTCAGTCAGTCAAAAGAAAGTGGCTGGATTAAGAAGGTAAAATGAATGTACAGGAACCATCCAATTCAGTAGATTCGGGAGCCTAATTATGATCAGCCAAAGGATAAATGATTGGAAGAAAGTGAAATTTAAAAGAAACTCTCTCCTCTCATTGTCTTTGTATTGTCTTTTCTTCCACCTATTCCTTTCATGCTTTTTGTTGTCCTACCCGGAATAGGTGCCTAGAGTTTATAAGCATTCACTCAGCTCATCAGATAAATTTTAATAAGCAGTAATACTGTCCCTTAATGAGAAGTCTCTGCCCTTTCACTTTTATATATGTAGTATCCCTTACAAACATACTAAGTTCCTTTATTTTTTTTGTCAAAAGTAGAGGACTCACCTCTACTTGTCTGTTTCCTATTCTTTAGAACAGTTCTTGTGACCTGAGAGTGAAGAAGCACCTCGTGCCAGTCTGAGGAAAGGATCTCAGCTGCCAGTTCTAATGCCGCCCACATCCTCTTCTGGAGGACATGGGACTGAGCAGTGAGCATTGTAACTGAAGATCAAGGGGAATGCAGAGATTTCAGGCCACAGCACTGATTCTGATTCCCCCATATCCTGTTGATTACTAAATTTGATATCAGGGGTAAAGTGGGGGTTTTGAAGAAGTGCAGTGGATTCCTGAAGATCTACTGGCAGCTTACAAGCTCTGGACTGCTCACAGAGCTTTTAGAATTGTTTATAGTACATGGAAAGAATGCTAATATGATTGCAGTCTTCTGAAACAAGTCTAGTTACATGAATATGTAAGAGAGAACAAATAGTAGATTTTCAGGCACTGAGATCAACAGTATTTTTATCTTTAAAAAAAAAAAAAAAAAAGAAGGCCTGACCTGAGATCCATTGCTTGGGTTATGTCATAAAGAAACTTGTAAAAGAGGAAAATAAAAAAGAAAGCAAGGAGAACTTAGGAATAAATATATGAGCAAAGGGAAAGAAAAAGAGAACAGCAAAAAAGGAACTTATTAGAGCTCAGTGGAGGTCTCCATTGTCTGGAGAATAACATCACTATTGGTTTTCCCTTTTGACAGTTACCCTCTCACCACAGCCCCCACCCACTAATCCCCTGGCCTGCTCCCCAGCATCTTGACCATTAAGTCTTCTTTCTCTCATTTTAGTCTCTTCAGCTTTTTATCTTTTACTTTGCTTCTACTTCTCCCCTCCCCTGCCAGTTAGACTTCGTTCTTCTCCCACCATCTGTCTTTCTGTGTTTTTCCGTTTGCCTTAGGCAAGAGTCACCATTTATCCAATAACTTCCCCACTCTCCTCGTCATTTTCCCAGGAAATATTAAATTCTTAAGTGCTTTTTCTGGTGCATTTAAGTGTTGCCAAACCTTAGGTGGATTGAAAGACTTATTGGGACACCACATTGATGAAGAACTGTGTACTACGTGTAGAAAAATCACTGTACATATATATTAATGGTTAATATAGAATAATATTATAATGAAGAAAAATAAAAAGCATCTCCAAATCACATAGCTTAGAGAAATCTTACTAAAGTTTGGGATAACAGAAGGGAGTAGGAAAAAAAAGAAATTCTTAGGAGAAGAAAAGCTGAGTTGTTATGTTATGCTTAAAGAATAACACTTAGCATTGGGCATTGAAGGTATTTCAAGGTTGTGTGTGTGTTTGGGACAGTGTGCACATTTTTGCACATAAAAATCCCAAGGCGCTTCATTTTTTTGGGATTCCTCCTACTTTAAAAAATATTTGTCCATAGACTTTCTCAAATTTTTTCCTAGAAACCATTGAAGTTTATAGCGAGTATAAACCTATATACAACTTTTTGTGCTGTGATTAAATTTCAAGATTTGTCAAGTGCTCTGGCATTTCTTAGCTTGACTCTGTCCGTGTGTGTGTGTGTGTGTGTGTGTGTGTGTGTCTGTCTGTGTGTGTGTCTGTGTGTGTCTGTGTGTGTCTGTGTGTGTGTGTGAGATAACCCTGCATGTGTTCTTGTGATGGGTGCCTCCTCCTTTGTTTGGCTGCTTTCTCATGGCCCTAGTTACTAAGACCCTTTAGAATTCCTTGGACTCAGTGCTATTTCAATGCCCATATCTATGGCTCTTTGTGCTCTTAACTCCCAATGATGTCAGCCCCTTCTTTTGTCTTACACAAACTGTTTTTCCTCCCTCAGCTTGTGTTCCATACCTTGCTTTTTCCTTACCTGCCCTTTCTTCCACCAAACACTTTTCTTCCATTATCTCAGGATATCTCAGCACTTCTTCCCAAACCAAAAAAAAAAAAAAACCCATTGCTGTTGAGTTGATTCCAACTCACAGCAACTCTATAGGACAGAGTATAACTGCCCCATAGGATTTCCAAGGAGTAGCTGGTGGATTCAAACTGCTGACCTTTTGGTTAGCAGCTGAGCTCTTAACCACTGCGCCACCAGAGCTCCCTTCCTCCCAAAGGCCTGCCAATTAGACTGACTTTCTTCTTTCCATCGTTCTTCCTAACACTTCAACTACGATAACTTTTTAATCTAATGATATTAAAGGGGTAGGAACAACTTGAGTGTAAAAAAAGAGCAAATGATAAGAAAATTATAACAAAAATCTATAATGTAATAATAATATGATATGCCTTATTCTAAAATAGAGCTGAAGAATATACTATAGTATGCCAGTGGCAAAATTCCAACTTTTTTTTTCATTAAGAAGAGAGTTCATATGATAATGAGGTTTCCAGGGAAGTTCATAGGATTGTTGGGATGGGGTGGTGGGTACATGAGAACCAGGGAGTGGAGAAAGTATGTCAATAAAAATATCAAGTTTTAATTTTATAGTTATACTTACTTTTTAAACATATTGCATAAATATTGTTACATAAGTAAGAATTTAAAATTATTATTGAAGATCCCTCCCCTTTCTGAAACTCTTCTCATTTGTTCTCTTCCTTTTCCCTTTTTTAATATCTTTTTCCTTCCTCTTTTCTTCCATGCCTTAAACTGGTACTTCTTGAAACTTGGCCCTAAACTACCTATATTGGAATCACCTAGGAGTTTGTGTGGAGTCCCTAGGTGGCACAGATAGTTAAGTACTTGACTACTGACCAAAAGGTTGGTGGGTCGAACCCATCAAGAGGTGTCACAGAAGATAAGACCTGGTCACTTCCATGAAAACCCTGTAGAGCACAGAGTAGAACACATAACACACATAGGGTCTCTGTGAGATGGCAACTGGTGTGGTTTTGTTTTGTTTTATTTTGTTTTGGTTAGGAGTTTGTGAAAAAAATCATAATCCCTTGCCTCACCCCAGACCTACTGGTTGAGCATGCTTGGAGGTGGTAAACACCTAATGTTTAAGAAAGTAGGTGATTCTTAAGCAAATTAAAGATTAAGGACCACTGCTTTAAAAAACATGTTGCGGCTAACTTATATCCTCTCCCTCTCTCAGCTCTCTCCCTTGGCAAATCCATCCCTTTTTGCAGGTCTAGCTGCTGCTTTGGGTAGAAGACTCCACATTCTTCCTTTTATGTTCTTACCTCTCTCCCATACTCCATTCCCATAGTTCCAGCTGTTTTCATTGATAGGTCTCTCTGGCACTGTAAGAGAGTAGTCTTCATTACTAAAGTAAACCCAAAACTCTCCAGGTTTTTAGTAAGGAAAAACTGTGGAAGGAAGATCTTTAGGTCAGGATAGCCAAGTAATAGTAATTGCCGTCTGAGTTTCACTTTCCTTTTTGAGATTTTTCTTTTTTCACTGCAATGCTGTGCCTCGCTCCCACCATTTAAATCTCAGAAACAGTATAATATAGTAGTTAAAAGCATGGCTTTGCATATTTGCTCTGCCACTTACTTGCTGTAGAATTTTAGGGCAAGTTACTTTATTTCTGTAAGCCTAAGTTTTCTCATCTGTAAAATAGGAACAAAAACAATAATAATAGAGTTACAGATAGCACATTTTAAGCATTTAGTATAGGACCTAGCAAATGGTAAGTAAGCAGTAAATGTTACCCATTTTTAGTAATAAAAGCAAGGAGAGATTTTCCTCTCGTTTTCTTAGTAGAGCCTAAGACAAGTTGTAATTTTCCAAAAGAAATCTACTAAATAATAGAGAAAACAAGAATATAAAGAAACATAATATAAAAAGCTGAAAAACACCCATACTTTTAAAGTACAAGTTTTTAATCCTAGAGTACTTATATCTAATGGAAGCTGTCTGAGTACTAGGCCAAAAGAATCCCAAACTAGTCCATAGGCTCTTTCCCCACAAGTTCTTTTCTTCATCCTTTCCAGAGGAAGTGATGCAATTACAGATACCTGAGGGAAAAAGAGTTTTGTGGCCCATGTCTAGAAGGAAACCACACTCTTCACATACCCTTCTATGGATCCTTGTCACCACAAAAATGTGGCTCAGCAGAATCCTTTCTTACCCCATTGGGTTTAGAGATTGAGTTCATGAATAGAGTCAAGAAACCATTGAATCATTTAATCTCCTCAACTGAAGTAACTTTCCTCATAAGTACCTGGAATTCTACGTGCCTGAAAGTGATCACATGTATATCCTCCCTTCACCCAACTTCCCTGAGAAGTACCCCTGCCATTATTTTCTTACTCTCTCAACCTTAGAATCTTCAAATCATCCTTGACTCCTCTCTTACGTGCTACCTTGCTCCTTACTCTCCAGCTTCATTGCTATCACACAAATCTGGATCCTCATTACCTGACTCATATCCAGTTGCCAAACTATTCTAAACATGACTGTTGTACGAATCTTCAGTCCTCCACTCAAAAGCAGTCTGTCAAATTATTACTAAATTCCTTAACCTAGCATTTCATACTTCTTATTCTCTTACCTCAACATTTTTGGTTCAGACCTCTCTCTATTTCCCTAAAAAAAACTCAGCTTGTAGTCATATCTCCTACTTTTTTGTCTTGCATTATTAGATGGACTGTTGTTTCCTACAGAAAGCTGTCCCTATCAAATCTTTACCTACTGAATATTTTTCTCCCAGACACAGCTTAAAAGCCAATTTCTTTCTTTCCTGGTCACCTCAACTAACCATGACCTCTCTTCTGAACCCCCATAACACTCATGGCACTTACTATTGATTGTAACTTGTGTATTGCTATTAAGCTCTATTCTCCTTAGAAGCAGGGAAAGTGTCTTATATTTCTTATACCTAGACATTGATTAGCGAAATATTTGATATATATTGTGCATTCAACAAGACTTTGTCAAATGAATGATTGAAATCATTACATTTTTGTTAAAACATTAGAAACATTGAGAGTTATGAAAATAATAATAGTCAGCTTTAACTATTTCCAGTGTTTTCTGTGATTTAGAAATAACTTATTCTAAATTAAACCCTTTTTTATAATAAAAATGATTTTGTTCATTAAACGTGCTTGTTTCTGTTTGTGTCTATAGATTGAAAAGGCCAAGCTTACCTTCATTTCCTTTGAGTAAAATAACTAGCTTTCTTATTGTATATGCAGAAATATGGTCAACTTGAAGAATATCTCAGTCTTGCGGATTACTTTCAAGATGAGAAGTTTGACTGAATTATAGCACATTTCCTTCAGAGAAGATTTTATAAATACCTGTAAATACGAAGATCATGACTCTTGTTACCTTGTATCATGTGACATGTATTTATGTATTGTATGTATAGCTTCATGGCAAAATGTCTTGTGTAAAACATATGTTCATCTTAATTTCTGTGAAATGGGACTCTACAACTTAATAAAACTTGTATCAGATGTACATAGAAAACATAATTTGACTAATTATGAAGTCATTAAATATATTTTAAAATTATGTAACAGTGACTTTATGACAGCTGGCTATCAAGTGAATGAGACGCTCATGTCCTGTCAGTTTAGTAGAAATATAATGTATTTTAAAATGTATTTAGTCTAACATCTGTATGTATTCATTGCTTTTAATCTCTGCCCATATCTGTTTATTACCCATTTGCCGTATTAAATGATCTTCACTAAATACATTTTAACACAGCCCTGGTGGCACGGTGGTTAAACGTTCGGCTGCTAATCAAAAGGTCGGCAGTTCGAATCCACTAGCCACTCCTTAGAAACCCTATGGGGTAGTTCTGCTCTGTCCTGTAGGGTTGCTGTGGGTCACAGTTGACTCGACGTCTGCAGGTTTTCACCTAAGTCAGTGGGCAGTAGAAGAAACCTCAGTATATTATTCACTTCAGTCCCCTTGCCTGGGAATCAGACTTGAGTTTACCTATTCCAACTAGAGGAGTGCTTTTTTCTTTCTCTAAAGTTTCCCTTAGACATGGATTTTAGGCCTCCAGAGTTTTTCAGCCCTGGATTCACGAATAATTTCATGATATATATTTTCATGCTTTATAATACTCTTTTCTATTCGATTTTATCTAGGTGTTAATGATTGAAGTGTATTTTATTTATTTTTATCTTTAACTTTTCCCATAAAGTATATATGTTAGGACCAGAATATTGCAAAGACAAATTTAGCCAAAAATACTTTTAAAATTATATTTTGGCATCTGCATGGTTTTGCACATCTAAGTTTTCACTGAATAAAGTAAAATGTACAGTTCCAGAGTGAACAAATGGACCCTGTCTGTTCTTTATTTTTAGTTCTTTCTGGTGTTCTAGTAGGACCTATTCTACTGTGGAATTTTAGATACTTGTGTCTTACTGGAAGTGTTGGTTGAACCTGGCTTCATCTGTTAAGTGGTTCGTGGCATGGACCTCAGTATATTTGAATACTTAAAAAGCTATAATTTATTAAGTCCTTAACGTGGAGATTACTTAATTACACCTACTCCTCACTATCGTTGTCCTACGTTTCACATTTATGACAATAGTAAAAAATCTATCCAAGTATTTTGTGCACTAACGATGTACATCTGGCAGTAACAAATGCCAAGGTGCAAGGCAAGAGTAACTCTGGCTGTGATGGTTAAGGTTATATGTCAACTTGGCTGGGCCATGATTCTTAGTGGTTTGGCACTATTGTAATGATATAATTTGGCAATGATGTTAATGATATTGTCATCCTCCGTTTTATGATCTGATGTGGTCATTCTCCAGTTTCACATAATGCTGACTTTTGCATAACAACCTGGTCTTTGGAATCCATCCATGTCGATAAGTGAGGAGTGAGTGTAATATTTTCTGCAACTTATTTCTTGAAATTATCCCTATTACTGTAAACAAACTGGGTAAAAAATAACTCAGAGTGGTAAGATGCTGAAGTTTAATGTGTGGAGTGCATCAAAAGTGTGAAATAGAAATTTCAGTCACATATCTCTACCCTTCTTACATATCTCTGGCATATGGAAAGAATCCTTAACAGAATAAAAGCGATGCCAGAGTTGCAAGGTGAGGATGAAGTGGGTGTCCAGAAAGAAGCAAGGCAGAGCTAGAGGAGAAGTGATAGTCAAGTTGGAAGGGTGAAGGAGTATGAATGACTTGTAAAAAGCAAGGCCAGAGAAAACAAAAGAGAATTAACTCTGAAGTATCTCTGTGATGACCCTCAAAGCAGCACCGCTCATATGTAACACTACAAACAAGATTAAGACAGCTCAAGAATGAAAGAGTTCCAACTAGAGTATTTTTTTATTTATCGTTTTTAATGCATTTAGTTTATAACATTAAGGTAATAATGATTCCAGGGACTAATGATGGCAGCTGACTCAGTTCCTACGTTAGGCATCTTTTTGGTGTGAAGCACTTTACCTGTTCGAACAACATTCTGGCTGTTGACCAGACAATGCCAATAGGTAGTTTTTCTCATGTCTGAGGTCATTGCAACTGAGCAAGCTGCTTCAGTGGGTGTCTGGAGAATACTAGAGGCTTTTAGTTTCATAATAACACCAAAAGAATGGCAAAGAGGCTATTAGGAAGTGAGAATTATGCATTAGGGAACCAAAAACAAGTAATTTACAAGAAAATTGACAATTTTTACAGGTACTATTACCTACTATATTTTTTATTTTATGATCATCAGTATCATTCAATCAATATACTAAAATAATTTGTGAGCTTGTGTTCATATGTCTGAGTTTTTTTTAGATCTGCACATTTGTTACAGTATTAGGAGCTTTAGTGTTAGCTAGCTATGGGTAGTAGAGATGATACAGAAAACAGAAATGGACAAGTAAAAGGGAAGTAATATTTGAAAGAATCCATAAGTCTATACAGAATTTTCAGGATTGCAGGGTGACAATACCATAAAAGAGCAATTGGATGTTAATTAGTCATATTTCCTACCTTGTTTGCTCTCAGCCTTATTCAGGTGAGTAGTTCTATCTACTCAGTCCTTGGGAGTATTACCAAACTTACTTAGAGTCCAGATTGATTGTGGGGTAATTGCAGCCCACGAACTACTTTGGGATAGCCTGCCTTCCCTACTTTCCACAATAGATAAATTGAGGCAGCAACCCTTGTGGTTAAGAGAGGATAGGTTTGAAGTCAGTTGTGAGTCTTGGTTTATTCCTTCCTAGCTACATGACCTGGAACAAGTAATTTCTATGAGCCTCAGTTTTCTCATTTAAAAATAAAAAATACCTCTCAGGATTGTTTGTGAATTAAACCAGTTACTTCTAAGTCTATTCTGACTCATGGCAACCTCATGTGTATCAGAGTAGAACTGTGCTCCCTAGGGTTTTCAATGACTGATTTTTCAGAAGTAGATCTCCAGGCCTTCCAAGGCCCCTCTGGGTGGACTTTTGAACCTCCAGCCTTTTGGTTAACAGCAGAGCATGTTGATCATTTGCACCACTCAGACTTTATGTGTAGATTAAGGAAGATCATATATGCTAAGCTATGCCTGAAACAGTGATTGTTTAATAAATAATAACTGATGTGAATGGAGATGAAAATGATGATTAATGATGTCAATTTGAGATTAAATGGTTGTGTAAGGGTGTGTATAAAAGACGTTCCAAAGAATTGTCCTACACCATGAGAATATAGTATGAACATTTATTAAATATCTTTATAATTTTTAAAGTGTGCACAAGTCCGGCATAGAAATTAAAGTTTCTATCATTTAGGAGTAGCTAATTTGACCAAGGACTCCATGTTACTGCAGGCTGTAGAGTGAACAGTAGGGTTTAAATTGAAACATTTGTTTTCCTTTTATCAAGCATGGTAGCTGCATGTAAAATTCCCATAGGAATAGAATATACTGTCTAATAAACACAGTTTTTAAAAGGTCAAATATAAAATTTATCAAAACTTCTTCACTTTTTAATGACATGATAGTTTTAAGAAACTTGAATGAGAGTTCTCCATTCAAATTTTGCATACCTAATAACAAAGATACTTTTCTTCCTTTCTCCGTATGATGGATGAGGAGCTTAGCCCTGGAAGGGACAGAGAGAGCTATGTTTCAATGAAAAAAAAGTTATATTCTGTCAAAGTGTACTTGTCCCCGTTTCCAAACTAACATTCCAGGATTTGTGAAAATGGACTAAAGTAGACCAGTCTATAGGGAACTAAATTGTAAATAAACTCAGTCTTAAAGTGTCTGCTTGATTTTACCCATTCATTTCTATCCATAGTTCAGTTTAAAGCAAGACCATGTTACTGAAATGCCAGAGTTACTTTAATAAAGCTTCATTGCTTGAGACTTCAAATTCAAACGACTTCCAAGTTAGGACACCTAGAATGTTTATGGTCCTCACTGCCCCAATACTGCATTGTGTTCATTTTAATGTATTCTGTATAATTAATAATGACAAACAGAATCCTCTGTAAAGTTTGTCATTATCACTGAAGATGAAGGGACGATAGTTAAGGGTTCTGTCTGAGTTATTAAACTTTTAGAAACCCGACTGCTCCATATCGATTTTCCTCATTATGTACATAAACCAGATAATGGTGGATACCTCAGATTTTCATTTGGTTTGCCATAGGCAGTCTTGTCTTTTAAAATAAAAACACCCTCTCCCTTTTTTAAAAAAATTTTCTAGAACTGGTACTGGTAATTTCATCACCTTCATAAAATATTTTATCGACTCCTACTGATTTGCTTATGGTCACCCAGACTGACTTATCCAGAGACACACAAACAGGCAGGCAGGTAGACATATACCTGCCTGCCCTTAAGGAGCTAACAATATCCTTTTCCCTCCTCTCCTCACCCTCCCCCCCACCCAATTATGTACCAAAAAATCCCGTTGCCGTGGAGTCAATTTCGACTCTCACTCCCCTGATGGGACAGAGTAGAACTGCCCCCATAGAGTTTCCAAGGCGCGGCTGGTGGATTCGAACTGCCGACATTTTAGTTTACAGCCGAGAGCTTAATCACTGCGCCACCGGGGTCCCCCTATAGGTACAGTCTTCCCCATTATTCTAATGAACATTTCTTCAGGGCTTACCCGGCTCTCGCTAGGGTGCTTAGTGGTGTCGTTAACAACATATTGAAAAATGAAAATGATATTCTCAGGGGAATATAAGGTAGGTCTGAAAGGGAAAATACATTCCCTGGCCGGGAATTTCTTGAACATTTAGAGCTGGTGAAATCGTTGTGTAGGGGTTGGGGAATTTCCCCCAGCCTTTCCCGCTTCAGCACGTCTGAGGCTGAGCGACGGCTTTTGAGATGCGCAGGCTTTGGGATTTACCTCTTCAGCCACTGGGAGGCCCTCTGCGTTCCCCTTTCCCCGGTGTCTGGCTGTAATTACTCACTCGTGCAGTGGCACCAGCCTTCCACCAGGGAGCCTCGATTAGGCTCTCCCGCCCTCCC